CGGGGGAATGAACCCAATGCATTTTTAACATCGGAGAAAAACAAGATCTCCTGGAAAAACTCCAAACCCAAACCATGAGTATTTATCCATACTTTGACTTCCTAGATATCGCTAAAGGCACCATGGAAATCTCAGCTGAAGAAAATGCATGTGATTTCTCAAAATCCAGTTCAGCTTAGTTATTAGTGTACTCTCTCATTCGTTAATTAAATTTCAGTTGAACTTTATTTTATTTATACAGCACCAAACCATCTCATGGTGCTTTTTATTGTAAGTACGGTACTTGAATGGTGGGAAATGCGGGGAAAAAGAGAAGAGAAAACAAAAACAACAAAGAATGAAATCAAACTATGGGAGCAGGCAAATGTTGAAAATATATGCCATGCTGAAGACAAAGAGAATGAAAAGAGGAGAGTGTGCATCAAGAGGAGCATCCAATAGTCTGAGCCTATAGCAGCATAACTTAAGGATGGTTCAGGGTCATCTGATCCAGCTTCTAATAAAAGTTTCATCACAAAATTAAAGTTTCATCCTCATCACTGCTTTCATATTCATTTTTGTTTCACTCCTTCCTATTCTCACAGAGTCACATTTAAAGTCAAAATTCCCCAGCTTTTATGGTAAATAAAATATATCTCATCTCAGATCACTAACAAAGAATCTTCATATATTTACTCTTTTGGTTGATTTATTTCAATACAGTAAACAATAAATGGTACATGTTAAACCCTTTAGGTAAAAACAGCCTCTGTTGTTCTCTTCTGCACTGTGCTATTATCCTCTGTCTCATCTTCAGGGAGAGTTCAGTGACAGTAAACATGACTCTAGTTTATATGAGGTTAGCATCATACTGTAAATGGTCCTCGTGTTGTGATAAAACCATCCTGTCATTATGGTACTAGTCTCCATGGCAACCCCACCGTCATCACTCTCTCTCTCCTAGTAATTATGTGTCTGGTCAAATCTGTTTCCTCTCGTCCCCTTGGGTCTGAGCTAAATGAGTAAACACACACGCGGGCGCGCGTACACACACACACGTACTCCTGCACACACAATAAAATGAAGAATGTGAAGTTACAACACTATGCAGCTCATTTCACACAACCACTAAAATAAACACAGGCAAGCTCTGTGAGAGAGCCAATTATCTCTTTGCATTCTCTGATTATTTATTGCGCCTTATTTTTATTAATAATAGATTTTAGATTTTTGCTTTGGAAGATGAGATGTTGATGGAGAAGAACAGAAACAGTTGCTTTGTGTCTTTGTGGATCTAGAGCTAGGGTACCAGGGGAGAAATCATTGTGCTCTATGAGAAAGTTAGGTGAGACTGGGGTATGACATGTATAAGGACAAGTGTATGCTAGGAGTGACAGATGGGTTCAAAGTGGGAATGTGATTACATTGGGGATCTAAGCTCCTTCTTGTTTGCAACAGTGATGGACAGGTTGACAGATGTCGGGCAGAAGTCTCTGTAGACTCTGATGTTTGCAGATGACATTATGATCTCTAGTGAGAGTAGGGAGGAGAGTCTGGAGACCAGATTGGACAACATTAGAAATGAGCACATCAGAGAGATACCCTACCCTAAAGGTAGCAGCTGAAAGAAGCAGATGATACAGCTTCACAAAAAGTGATAAATGCTGTCAGTACTCAGCTTTTAGAGGCAATTTATGCACCTTAAAATAAATGAATTACAAAAATAGTCAAAGGAAATCCTAGGGTAAGTACAGTTGCTGAATGGAGGCATTTATTACAGCATGACACACTAAAAGGCCCCAACTGACAGCGAGGAGGATGCACATGCACAGTCAGCCTCACCAAGTCATTTGTCTGGAGGCATTGGCTAATACGAACATGCTGCCAAGCAAGCTAAAGAGGCACTTAGAAAGTAAACATTACTTCTGAGAAAAACTCTGGCTACTCAAAAAGAGTGCTGGCACTGACTCAAGCATCCTCCAATGCTTAAACATCAGATACTCCAAAATCCAAGTACTGATCAGCCACAACAACCTGCTGGCCTAAGATCATGTAGGCACCAAAACAGCTCAATGAAACCTAAAGGTTCCCAGTTTAAACTTGTAGCAAGACGATCAGTGTTACATCTTCTGGTGTATTTCCAGATGAGTAAAGGTTCTAGACAACTTTCAGTCATTTTGTTATATATGCTTACAATCTGAGCAATGCTTCTGATTTTGAGTCTACCATATCTGCAACCAGTCAGTCTCAAAATAATTTAGCAATTGTTTACTTCTTAAAATAGTCCGAGGCTCTAACAGAACTGCATAGAGCAAAATATGTCTACTAGCTGGTAAGTTAAGCTTAAGCAGACCCTTTAACTTTAACAATAACAACGACAACAACAATAACGGTGGTTAACACTGTTGCCTCACAGCATGAAGGTCCTGAGTTCAATTCCATCATCAGGTCGGGGTCTTTCTGTGTGGAGTTTGTATGTTCTCCCCGTGCCTGGGTTCTCTCTGGGTACTCCGGCTTCCTCCCACAGTCTAAAGACATGCAGTTAGTGGGGATATGTTAATTTGAAACTCTGAATTGCCTGTGGGTGTGAATGTGAGTGCGAATAATTTGTCTGTGTCTATGTGTTAGCCCTGCGACAGACTGGCGACCTGTCCAGGGTGTACCCCTGCCTCTCGCCCTAAGACAGGTGGGATAGGTTACAGCCCCCCCGCGACCCTGAAAAGGATACGCGATAGAGGATTGATGGATGGATAATAATAATAATAATAATGACAACAACAACAACAACAACAGGCAAATGTGAAAAATGCTGTGATGGATTAATTTGATCATGTCTCTACAGGGTGGTCATTATGTTGATCTTTAAAGACTTAATAGACAGAGTTAATAAGTACCTGTAAGGTGGCAAAACAGGCACTGTATTAAAACTACAGTTCAGAAAGCGTTGGAGAAGGTTTAGCAGCAGTATAAAGAAAAAACGTCATTTAAAACAAATGGACCCAGACATCCAGGGACTCTGGTTTGGTTGTATGAACAATGAAAGTGACTTGAAAAGCTCTGTTATGAAGGCAGATTGATGACCAGGAACAGTCTGCAATGTTCTTTTTGGTGGCCAAATTCACATTAGTTCTTGAACTTTTTCAACAGGCCACCTTTACCACTATTGCTCATAATTCTTTTAATCTTTTGATTTTTCATTCACTTGGCTTTCTCTCTGACTTTTTTTTGACAAAACATGAAGCTTTGATTCTTAACTTATGGGTCTGAAAATGTAAGCCAGTGCTGAGTTTTTTAAACAAGCATTCTTTCTAACAGCCAGCAGGGGGTGTCTCGTCTGGTTGTAAAAATGTGATCGTGTAGAAGCCTTTAGGAAAATGTACCTTGTTCTGTAAGATCATTTAACAGTTAAAAAGGTCTCCACTGCTAGTTTCAAGTCTTACTAAACACAACATGATGTTTCTTTTGTAAATTAATGACCATATTAGAGTTAGAAAGAAGGGTGAAACGGGGTAAATATGCTTATCTTTATATAAAATCTTTGACTGTTAATATAAACCAATCCTGGCTTTTTTGAAATAATTCCATTCCCTCCTCTTGAAAAGTCTCTCTCTATAACTCACAAGAACAACCGTAATCCTTTCTAGTGATTTTTCCACTGTGTGTGTGTATCTCCATCGCTGACATGCATGCAGACATGCTTGTTGCCATGGATGCTGTGTGAGCCTCAGCAGGCTGCCTGCTCCATTTAGTCGTTTTCTACCTTGTTGAGGATGAAGCGTACGCCCACGCTTCCATCTTTTTATTCCTCTGGAAACTTAACAGGGCGTCAGAGGGCCTCGACAAGCACTGAATCAGTGTGTCAGACTCCCCACTTAACAACCACACAGGCACAGTCTGGGCTGGTGAACACAGGTCTTTTTGTTTTACAGCGGTGCCCAAATCCTCCCCTTCTCTTCCAGTGACATTCCAACTAGAACATTTTCCCTCCATTTTTTTTTTTTTTACTGACCTCCTCCTTCAACAAATAATTAAGCAAAGACGAGGCTCAACCTGAAACACACGTCCTCCTTTCAATTGGTTCATGGCATAGACTGTATGTAAAATATGCAAATGGACAATGTGATGCCACTTGTTGGCTTTTTGAGGACAATTCTGATGATAAAATGTGCTAATACTAAGATTCATAAGGTTTCAGCGTGCCAGAATCGACATGCTAAATGTGCAGCAGATCTCCAAAGGCCTGGAAATTAAATAATGCGTTCACATAAATCTTTTCAACACTTTGGGATTCTCAAAGTCCCACTGAAATCTTCAACTTACATACCTCCTGCTATACATCAATACATGAGACAGCATGGTTCAAAGGGCATTTGTCCCAGTGGTAAAAAAGAAAAGTGTGTGGATTTAAAACACTAACATTCAGAGACAGACACAAAGAGAAGACGTGGGGGGAGTACGGGGTAATCTTTCAATGCTGGGTTTCCCCGACCTGCCTAAAGTCATCCCGCTGGACAAAGAGGGATGCTCAGAAGTTTCTTTTTCCCCCCATCAGTTTCTGTAATTTCCATCTTTCCTGCTATTCTGTCTTTTTTACATGAAAGCTTGGCAAGTTGCCTCGCCACCCACACGCTCATATGAACTTACACTTACAGTACGACCCAAATATGAGCGGTTAAATATTTGGTTACCTTGTCCTTGGCTTCACTCAGCTGGTCCTCCAGTTCAGAGAAGCTGAAGCCAGCCACCGTGATGAAGTCACCAATCACGGCCACAAACTTATCCCCTCGTTCCCTCGTCCTGCTCTGCTGGTAGTGCAGCTCCTGATGCGGGTAAAACGAGACGAGAGGCGTGTGATTGGTCGGTCTCTGAGGCTGAAGCATGCTTCATTACAATTAGTTTCACTTGAGCTTTCTTGGAACTCGGATGAGCGTATTTGTGCTGTAGCGCTCGTGTTCGCGTGTGGCAGAAAACATGACATGTCGCTTTCTGTGTCGCAGAGCGTGGAACATTACCAGCATTTAAACACCTCGCCCTGCTGCCCATCTCCGCACTGCTCGAAAACATAATTACAGACAGGAGAAGAACCGATGGGAGGGAGCGTGACACAAACGCACAACAACTTACCGCCTCCAGTGCCTTCAGTCCACTTCTGATACTATGCACTTCTTTTTCCAACTCTGACAAACTGCAGAAGAAGGAAAGACAAATATGAAGACAACATTTGTTAGCTGTTTATTTATGTGTGTCACAACTCACATTGTCTGTTGCTTTTTATCAAGAATTTCCTCAACATATTAAAAATCCTAAACAATTTTACTCAAGTAACAGCTGACACGGTCCTACTGTAACCACATGCAGTCAGAGGGAGAAATGCTCTTTTCCCTCAAGTGAAATATTGCACACTTACTTGACTTTGGCAGCTTCTTGTACGCTGCCGAGGTCCTGCTGGATGTGAAGCGTGTCCGGGTAGTTCTTCTCAAAGATCATGATCAAGTAGTGCAACATGGTTATGTTCCTATCGAATAATAAATAAAAAGAAAAATAGAATCAAGCAAAACAGAATTAACCAAAGTAATTTATGGAAGGATAAGGAATAGCCTCCTTTATTTTTGCTCACTTTATTTAAAACACAGGTCTTTGCTATTATTTCCATACTAACTATAAGATACATCAACATATACAGAAATTGCACTGGCACAAGAGTTGCAGTACATGATATTTACTGATAGATGTGCTCAGTGAGTGCACCCGCTGAGCATGGCACAGTTCTGTGCATGCAACTGATGCAAGCAGTAGCTCTCTTGAGTTAGGATTTAGTATAACTTTGCACAATCAACATCAGCATCTGAGAGGTTTTTTTTACCATTTAAAGATGAGCAATTGCAACATGAACATGAGACAGAGCTGAGATACTTAATCCTAAGGCAAAGGTGTAAAGTAAACTAACAAAAGGAAACAAATGTACTTGTTTCAGTTGTATTAGGGCTTAAGGTTTGAATTATTAGGGCCGTGGGCTCTTTGACTGACAGGTAGATGGAAACACAGCCAGCTGTGGTTGCTAGCTGCCTGCTAGGATTCAGCTCAGCCTGTTAGATCATTGAACTAGATCTCGGGAGCATGTTTGTGCTGCTGGTGTTCTTTAGATAATTTTTAATGCACCTACAACTTTTAATGCTTGCTGTGCGGGTAATTGTACTGACAGACCATCTAAGAAGTCTGTTGTCAGCTTTTAGAAAGTGAAATATTCTTGGATTTTATTCAGCATTTCTATCCGTTTTATGCACCCATAAGTCCTATAAATGCAACTTGCTAACCGAGATTGCTAAAACTGTCAACTAACCTATCCAAATAAACTAAAGCACTTATCCAAATGTAGTCACTCCAATAAACAAGCAGGCCCGCAGCGTAAGTCAACACTTGTAACAAAGTGGATTAACTGAAGACAGCCCACCTGTCTATGCTGGACTTGGTGTCAGCGATCTTGTTGAGGCTGGAGATCTTAAACCCGAAGGCGTTGCCTCTCTGGCCTTTGTTCATGAAGTTGCCGAAGGCCAGCACCACCTCCAGGACCTGAGTCAAACGTTTGCTCCGGACCACCTCCTTGGACGCGTTCAGGATGGCTGTAGGAAAATGAAGAGGGAGAAAGAGAGAGAGAGAGAGAGGGTTGCAGCTGGAGACATCATTTAGCTGGTGACTGATATGTGTGCACTCTCAGCTTTTCATATTACATAACACTCTGGGCTTTCACCATCTCCTTCCATTCTGTTACTCTACTCAAACCCACAGACACGCATACAACCTAAAAATCACCATCCTTTCCTTCATTTCTAACATCCTTCATGATGAGTGATCAATATTTCCCAAAACAACTGGGCAGCTCGGTGGGGAAACCCATCGAGTCCTTCCATCCATCCATAAAACAGCAGAGGGAGGGAATATTCCAAACATAACTCTGTAGTGTCAGCCTCTTTCCTCCAGAGAGCTGCAAGGTCTGGCAAAGTGCAGGTGGTTCCCTGTCTCCACAGAGGAAACCTCAGTGTGAATGTGAAAATCATTAACAAGTTTCATCTTGTTATTGTTGCAGTTCTTTGTGCTGTGATGCAGCATGGGAATCAGTCTTCTGGCTCTGCTGTCAGGGTTCTGAAAGGCTTCTTATTGAACCTGCTGGGTGGTCCAGGGAAATATAGACTCATGCAGAGTATATGACAAAGCAACATGAATAATAAAAGGGGATGAACACTTTATTACGGTCATCCACAAACTGTGGTTTGCAAATATTTTGGGATTCTGGAGGTCTGAGTGGATCCACCAACTCACAGGATGCCTGTACTTTATTTCCAGTCCATCGAGGGATCAGAAGCAGAGGCACCGAATTCATTTTAGAAGAGGGGATCCAAAAAAAGCAAACAAATAAAGTCTGTATCCAGAGAGATCTGGACCGGAAGTGAAGCTGCTGTTTATGATTAAAAAGCATGTTTTACTACACCGGTGACATTTTTAGAATGTGACCAAAGTGAATAAATACTGTGGACATGACATGCAAAATGTCACTTAAGTAACAGTAACAGTGTTACACACGCGCTGTATGTGTGGTTAATAAAAGCATTTTGCCCGTATTCATTATATGTGTTAATGCTACATAAAACACAATCTCTGCAAGCTGTGCCAGACATTAAAGACAGTTGACAATTGATTTTCACCACTAGGAGGATGAGGATTTTTTGTGCTTTTTGGCTCCTACTTCAATCACTGGTGATTAGCTGTAACATTTTACTTGTTCCCAGACGATCTGACAAATGTCTCACAGCACACACAAGCTGAACTACCAGTCAGCAAATAAAACGTTGCTCTCATAAATGAAGTGATTCAGGCCAGCAGAGCAGTGTCTTTAAAGTAGATCTGGCTCAAAGAGACTCAGTCACAACACACCCTGTGCATGCACGTGCATGCACACATGGCTATGAACCTCACTGGAAGCCTTTTCCCTCACTCTTTGAAGTTAGCTGCAGCATTTACAAGAGATGCTCTCCTCTCTTAACATAGGCCAGCTTTCCAAAACAGCCTCCCTGGTAACCTGAAAGCTGGCTTGATGGGGAAAAAAAAAAACCATACATAGTTGACCGCCCTCTCGCATCATGCACACGCACACACAAATTTAACTCAAAGGAAGGATTGTGAAAAAGCTTTGGTCTTGGTGTTCGCGGCTGATGACATTTCTAGTGTGGGAAACGTTGTTTTGTTTCTGGGTGTGTAACTGTGTGCCCCAAAAAGAAAATAAGTGCTCGCAAATGTAATCTTCTTTTCCATTTTTCTGTCAAACTGCGTCAAAAGACTGTTTGACGACAGTTTTGATGCATGAATCGAATCTAAGGTCAACTAATATTTCTGGCTTTCTAAGGAAAAGCTGCCATTATGCAATACTTTATGACTGTCTCCACCCCATCTGAAGCAATCAGCTGCAAGCTCCATTCTTGCTCAACATAATCTGTAAAAATAGGTCACAAATACATAACTCCATTTTATGGCAACTGTGTGTGTGTATGTTTTTGTTTTTCCTCTCATTACTCAGCAGCACTGAGGGGCACTGGGATTACAGTTCTGTTTTAAAAGCCAAATAATCTAGTTGATTTTTCACTGTTTGCTTTTCACTGTTCATATAATTAAACATTTTTTTTTAACCATATTTCTCTTTTCCTTTAGCTGCCACAAAATTTAAATCCCTGCTGGATTTGGTTTCCTCACATCAGCGCACATGTGCAGCTATGGTGCAGCGAGAAGTAGCAAGAAAAGCCTCGATGAAAACATGAAGCAAAATTTTCATGCACATAGAAAGCCAATGCAATGACGAGGCATTGGCACAAGTTTGAGCAGGGCAACACAAATGGAGGTGAATTCCCGTTTGCATGAGTGAAACTGTCACTGATGTGTTTTATACAAAAATGGGGATCCAAGAAACAAAGTTCATGTTTACATAACCTTACAGTGGCCTCAGAGGTGTTTGTTCTTACCTTCAACCTTAGGCTTTGTTTCAGCAAGACGCTCTGCAAACTTCTTCTTAAAGAACAGAGCCTGCAGTCTCTGCTGGTAATGGTCAATTCTGTTGAGGAGAAAAGAGTGACAGAAGGGGGAAATGGGGGGAGGTGAGTTACATCTGTCTCCAGGGGAGTCCAAGTTCAAAGCTAGAAGTCACTCAACTGTGCAAAACTCCCTCTCTCAGTTTTCACTGCATTATCATCCAATAAGCGCCTATCAAAATGGAGAGTTGACAAATGGATTTGTTAAACTTGCTCAAAAGTTCACCAAAGGAGGGGGTGGGGGGGATTTCAAAGAGGGACTCAGGATATTAAATTGCAAAAAAAAGGAACTAACTAATTCCCAGATGTGTTCCTCAGACCAGCGGATATGTGGTCAAAAGGGTAGTAGCAGAGGAAACAAAGCAGAAAGGTGATATTTCATTAAAAGGAAACAAATAGATTTGTCTGTCAGGAAAAAACGAGTTCTGAGAACAAGAACAGCATCCAGGAAAAAGGCATTGATTTAGGCATTGGTGTTACTACAGTTGTCAAAACAAGACTAGTTTCTTCAGCTAAAAAAATGAATCACACCCAAGCTTGAGGCTTGTTTGGGATTCCACCCTTGTCTCCGTGCATTGAAAGCTATCAATTTAGCACCCATTCCCTGACTGGATGATCTTTTCTTTTTGCATTAAATCTGTTGCAGCTTCTTAGAAATTAAGTTCCTTTAAAATTAGTAAATTAAAACTGCAGTGAAACATATGAATTATACGGCTAACCTAGCATGGATGTTGTTACCTGAAGCCGAGTATCACACTATGTTTACCTGCTCATCTCAAAGAGGAAGCGATCAGCTCGGGCCATCCTCTCCAGCTCATGTTTGTGCTCCTCCAACAGGTCGATATCACTTTTCTCTGGGACAAACTTCAAAAGCTAGAAAGACAACAAGAATCCAAAAGTTCACGCAGAAGACTGTTGGCAGCATTTTAAACGACAGAATCGGGTCTGTTTTAATGCCGTGGAGCAACAATATTTAACAATAGATTGTAGCTTTGTGCCTTGTGTACAAAGATTTCACAGGCTTCTCTTAATCTAATCATGAAATTAGCATCTGTAGATAATCTGCAAATTCTTCTTTATTTTACATTTAGACACATTATTGTTAAACTCCATGCAGTGAACAACATTTCATTTTTTTTACTTCTACTGTTTGCGAAATGTTTCACCTTGTTATTTTACTTTACAATAATGCACCAATCCCAAATAAATATATTATTAAGATTTACTAACTATTGCATTCTGCTTTTATTCACTTTTTCTTTTTCCTTTTTTTTACATTGCCTCAGATTTCTTTGAAGCTTGATTATCATCAATAATTACATTTTCTTTCCATAATAAAGCAAGTATAGGGACATTGTTTTGACCCAACCAGTCGCAAAAGACCTGAAAAGCTTATTTTCACTGGACCATACCTGCTCCAGCATATCTTTAGCAAGCTCTTCTCTCTCATCCATCTCCAGGATTGCCCTCTTGATTTCTTCATTGCTCATTTTTAATCTAAAGGGTTAAAAAAAACAACTTTATTACAGTAAAAGAACTACTAGTGGACTAGCTCATTGCTCACAATACCAGCCTGGACCAGTGACAAACCCCGGGAACACTGCCAGCTGTTTTCAGTGCATCTGATCACTGAGCCGGGTTGCAATCAATAACAGCATTGTTAGTCTGTGCAGCAAACCCCTTATTGACCAACTGCTGACCCCATTTGGGTCTAGTCTGTAGCCCAGGGTCATTTGCTATTGACTCGAAAAGGAGTTCAGGGACCACGCTGATGTTTTGTCAGACACACAAAGAGCTCAGAAAGCATATGTATTGATCTGTAGAGGGGGTAGAGCTTAAATTCTCAAAAGGGCTTCGGACCAGCGCTATTAGGAGACAGACAAATAGGAGCCATATTGCCAAGTGGATCTTAAATGATGACAATTGATTCGGGTACAGATGCAGAGGGATTCAAAAGCCCTTGGGTGGGGGACTAGGGTTGAATAAATGCGAGTTAATATAATGTAAGCGACTCAATGTAGAGTCTGCTTGTAGCTGAATGTGTAATAATAGACCGGATTCTCACAGTAGAAATCAGAACATTACTTTCCAAGATGTTGCTTTAGCTATATAATGCTTTCAGATAAAGATGTATGGATTGAGTTACACTCACAGATGGCCTAGGTGTCCATTAAAAACACATTTCTGGCTCTAGATGCATGAGGCCATCATTCCAAGCAGCTCCCACACAGAGTTAGTGCTCTAACCCCTGACCTAATGTTACTTATTTATCAGTGGTCTGCACTGAGGCCATTTCTTCAGCACTATAAAACTAATTAGCAGATAATTACTGTGGCTGAGTGAGCTCGAACCACTGCAAATACAACAAAGCAAAAACATAAAATAAAATAAAATAAAAACAACAAACATGCTGCAAGTAGTCCAGGAAAAAAAAAGCTGGGAAAGTCTTGGAAACAGTCATGTTGGACCTAAGCTGAAGGAATTAGCTGGAAAAGATAGGTTTCCAGAGAAGATCTGAATATGAGTAAAACGAAAAGATTAAAAAGGCCTAAGTGAAAAGGTCCGGTTAGAGTTACACTAGGCATGAATCTAGAAATCAGGACTAAAAAGCTACTGGTTTAATGACCTAAGTGAACCAGGCTTAAGAGTGTTCCAAGTCTGAGAAATAACCTGAGGCTATATGTTTCACTTGTTTATAATATTTTAAATATTTTTTATAAAATTATTGCTTAATTTAATGAGGAGGTATCCAATATAACACTGTCACCATAGGCAAAAATATTCCTACATTTACTTCTCAACTATCAGGAAATAAGCCTGCACACTTCAAAATAAAACCAATAATCTCTCCAGACTGTAGTGGAGACTGGATGTAATAAAAGCATGAAAGACCTTCTCAAGCTCGTTAAAATAAAGAAAGAAATAAAAGCCGTCTCATTGAAGAAAATGATCAAATATGAAGCCAACATTCTTCATATGAGATTTGCATGCTGAGAAGAGCGTCAGCGATACATGTATATGTGAGAGGACAAACAAACCTTTAGCTTTGAAATAACTTGATCTATAAGTCTAATTCAAGAGAAAAATTAAAAAAATAAAGCCGGACTTTTTTAGCATAACAGTTACAATTTGTTACAGCATTTACAGAAGACTGACATGTATGTCATACGTTAGTGTAATCTGTATAAGAGTAACTCAAAAGGCAGCCTTGCAAGTTGCAGCGCATCGAGATCTCACAGCAGATGCTAATCAGCTGTTTACTGATGATGCGATACACTATGATTAATCATTCAAGCCGAAGCCCCTTACTTTGAAAGCAGGATGACACAATTCTGTGCACGTCTGCCATCAATGACTGACAGCTCTTTGACCTTCCGCGTGCTGACGTATATGTCATCCATCGAGCCAGTCTCTTTCTGCAGAAAGACAGAAAAACAGATTACGTTTTGCTCGCATAAAATGCAAAGCGTGCACACTGTAACGTCTTTTCCTCGCATCTGCATGACATCTTTAGCTGGTTGAGAGACGACCCCTTCTGAGCGTTTAACAATGTGATAATTTAGAACAGATTCACGAAACTCTGCTTTAAACTACCAAAGACAGTTTGTTGCAGTTGTTTAATCATTTATCAAACTCAGACTAAAAGGCTGCACTCTGGCCAAATACTTTAGTCATTCCCCCGACCTGTTTTTGCAGTTTTCTGAGGCCATAACGCACATCTCATTAAACATTATAAACTCCTTGACTCAGGATGGGAAGGGGCATGAAAACATGTGACACAAGCTGTGGAACAAAAAAATAAATAAACTCTACAGCAGGTCTTGGGCGAGGACATTTTTTTGGTGAGTCACCATTGCAAATCCAATGCAGGCAAACCTATAAACTTTGCAGAGCAACAGGAAACATGGCTGATAGCTTGATGTAAGCCAGTCAGATATTTCTGTAAGCTCTGCACAAATGTAGTATTAAAATGCACCAGGGGAAAGAACACATGTCTGAGAGGACTGCATGTTAAACGCATTCTATTTATGGTCCGATCTGCTTTCCTCCCTGCCAGAAAATGTTCTTCCTGAGGTCGTTGAGTATGACATTTGTAAAACAGATGTGGCTTGTAAAGAAAGTGTCGTTTTTCCATGCCCGTGCTGACCCAAGGTGCCTGGCAGCCGACTGAGGTTGGCACCGGGTTAGGGGGACAACTCCCATTCACTGAAAACTGCCAAAGCCCTCTCTGCACAAGCGGTGAAAGCTATTGTGCCAACTTAACCAAGTGTAACTGGAGACTTTATCTTTTCTAACAGCTATGAAGTAACAGTGATGGAAATGTGGCGTTTACAATTGCATATTCAGGCTTTTTCCAGCTGAGATTATAATGAATAATTAAAGAAATTAAAGATGATTATTGTAATTATGGTAATCAACACAATAACAAAAAGGCAAGATAAGGAGTAATAAGGCAGTGATGATTGGGATTAATGTGGACCCTCTACTCATTTGTATTGGCACCATTATATTATCCAGTGATGAAAATCATATCTTTAACACTGGAGAATTATTAACCTTAGTTTAAAGCAGTGGAAAATAATCTGATTTATGAAGCGTGTATGACATAAGATAGTTTGCTGGAAGTTTTCTGCACTTCTAGAGAGATGCCAGGAGAAACCTGAGACCAACTGGCTTCAAAATTTAAAAAAAAAAAAAAAAAAGACCACTTTTAGTAAATTTTTCTGAGGATTTTTTTCCCCCCCAAATTCTCCACCGTGCTCACTGGTTAATGTTGTTGCTAAATTTGTTTTTACTCCACTCACCGAGACTCTTTTGGTGAAGAAAGCTTTGGCTGGAAATGGTGCTAACAAGGGCAGTGAGATTGAACGGAAACTGCAAAACCATGGGCCATAAAACCAAAACAATTATCTTAAAGAAACCGTAAGCCTGTTTCAGCAAAAACAAAACACAAAATCAATAGGTTTTTATACTAGGTGACCACTTTGGTGCCTAAACTGACCAAACAGAGAATGGAAAAAAAGTAATTAAGATAAGATCTCGAATGGCACACAAACTTGTGTTTCCTGGTTAAAAGTCATTTATCTGATTTGGACCAACACCACGCCCTCTGCCTCTCTTTACTGCCTTTGTAGTACTAGAGCCTAGAATTAAGCTGAAAACAAAGCCAACACAAAAAATTGCAGTTCCTCTAGTGGCCTCTAGTGGCCACTAGTGATCGCTAGCTCCCACAGTGTGTCAAACCGCAAAAACTTGCATGTTAAACCATTTAAGTTTACAGCAAACATAAACATGTGTACAGCTTGGTAAAAAAAATGGTTCATAAAAATTTTACAGTGCCTAATTTCTTTTCTTTTTTTAATAACTTCTCCACCTGGATATTGGCGGCTTTGTTAGAGAGGTATATGCCCACATAGGTAATGGATGCTTGTAGCTGTCTTGCTACACTATGTTTGTGAAATTGGTGCCTTCTGGATAATTACTAATATAAATATCTAGGAATTAATATGATTGTTGGATGTGCAGCAGTTCTGGTTGGTTTTAATGTTTCCTTAGTCTGTTAGCAAAATTAGCAGATATGTGGGTCTGTCTATTGCAAACAAGCTAGCTCGCATTTGCTGCTAACATATTAGTCCACTGTCATCTAAATATAGTAACTTCTGGCTCCAAAAAGCCAGCATGGTGGTAATGGTAATGCTAATCTTACAGCTTTACAATGTCCCCAAAGCCAAAAGGTGATATCACTATGGCCACATCCATCTTTGATATACAGTCTGTGGTTTTTGCATATCAACTCCACACAATGCTAGAGAGATATTTGATTTGACTGATGTTTTTGTTCTAGCATATTTAGGTATAATAATGTTGAGAAACGTTCAGGGCTGCAGTGCATGTGTTCTGTCGTTAAGCTATGAGAATGCTTTGGCATTAGGAAACTGCACAGGATAATTTTATGTCATAACTTTTACACTGTATGACTTATCATTAATATTCAAAATCTTGATGCTAAGGTATGCCGATCAAAGTTCATACATTCAAACCCATTCATTACACTATTCTAGCTGGCTGGCTGCTTCTTTGTTGCAGAAGAGAAAATAACAGAGAAATAAAGATGGTTGAGAAGCTAGAGGATTTAAACTCACCTGTTTGAAGGATTGGTTAGTGAGCAGGTCCTGCCCAGGCAGTCGAAGAGTGCAGAGAGACACAAAAAAAAAATTGAAAACACATGCAAAGATTAGCACATCAAGCAGAAAAAAGGTGGTGGCTAGAGCAAAGAAATATAACTACGCACACTACAAGCTGAAGCCGGGAAGCCCTCTGTGAGAAAAATCATCTACCGTCCGAGTCATCAGGGGCTCATGAATCTAAACCTCTCTGTACTGCATAAATTTGGTTTCTGTCTTCTCAAAGAGGTCATGATTGTTATAATGAATTCTTTTGATTGCATCTACATCTGCCCTTCTGCCCTGACGTGGAAAAACACAACCATGAAAAATGACTGCGGTAACTAATCCTACCGAGGGCAAATGTAAACAAAAGCCCATTTTTAAAGTAGAAGGACCAGTGACAAGCTTAAAATAAGTAATTATGCCATGAATAAACACTGCAATACTGTCCAGCTGAATCAAATCTAGCCAAATGGAATCGAGTTGTCAAAGCCAGGAAGATGTTGGGTTTTATGTGGCTACGTCCATAGAGATCTGAATTTAACCGTTGGCCTGTGCCAATAAAAACCTGCTCTGTATAAATAAATACCCACAGTAAATCACTGTCAGAAACAACCTCAAGTGACCCATTCCTCTTTAATAAAAGCCTGCAAAGAGAGGATGGGCTTAAGGCTGTCAGAAGGCTTTTAAGCGACACTGTAAAATACATTACAAAGGAATTCAACAATTTTAATGCTTCAAAAGAGACTTTGCATTGAGCCAACTAATTAGAGCAAATTAACATTCCACTTAAACATATTTAAATCTGTGTAATATATCAGTTGGTGTAATTCCACCCAGTATTACCACATGACAAGTGGTGTGCAATTAGTTTATTGCACAGAGGGGTGTAATTGCGCCGCACTGTATGGTGTTGCCACCAAGACAATTATCCTATTAGTTAGTGCCATGATTTAGTGAATGCCCTCTTTATTTTAGCTTTGGTAAAAAGTTTCCTGTATCGTGACTCCTCGTGACTTCAGCGGTTTCCTACATGTCGCCCTGATTCATGAGCCCATGAAGAACCAGTCAAGGTCTCACACAAATGCTCTGCAGACACTAGTGCAAAGCAGCAGCTCTGTGGCATCTCTACAATAAGGCATTCAGCAGTGAACAGCTGCTCATGTTAGCCCGGAGCTGGACCTTGGCGCTCTCAAGAGTTCCTTTTTACACAACCCACCCTTTAGCCTGTCACACACACTTTCAGTAATACACACAGTTCAAGAATCTAGGCCAATATGGTACTCCACACACACAAAACAATTGCTTATACGCACACACTCTCACACTCACTTCCAAGTCATAAAACTACAAGCCACTTCCAAACAAATCCAAACCTGTTGTCTCTGATATGCTGAAAACATCTTCTCTATGTCTTTCAGGTCGAGGATCTTGAAAGCTCTCAGATCATCAATGTCGCTCCAGATGGTGCCATTGACCATGTTCTAAAAACAGGGTGGAGTGACATAAGAGGTTCATGCGTATACACTGATTCATTCACAACTGCTCATTTTAAAACTGTTACAGTTCAAAATATGAGGTCAGCATATGTACAAACAATCCCCGTGCGCCAAAATTTTCAGGCTTCAGACTGTTCTAAACACTCCACTTCAGGATCTTTTTTCATCCTCTCCTCTGTGGGATGTCACAGAGTGGGGACATCCTTACATGGTTGCTGAGGCAGACAGCTTTGGCTGTGAGCACAGAAGCTGAGTGAAGTGGTAGATGGGACCTAGAATATGATGAACTGAAGGTGAACTGAAATGAAGATGCAGTGTTACATAAAACAGGAGAAAAGAAAACCTCTGAGGCTGAAAAAGCAAATGTAGAAGTTCCAAAAAATACATTTCCACAAAGCAGATATGCAAGTTACCAGAACGCCAAAGTTGAGGCTTCAAAATGAGACTCCATCTTTCCATCTTTTATATACAGTCTATGCCCAGAAGAGTCCAAAAATGATAATGTAGACATGATAATGATTTGAGTTTTATTATAATTCATATCCACTTCATATTTATTTTTGCTATTTCAGAGTAGTAGAAGTAATACTAGAAGTACTAAAGAGGAAAACTTTCTTATTTTGACAACAATATGTCAGAAAATTAATGGCCGGGCATGTTCACCTTTTATACACAAACGATAGTTCAACCCTTTTATGTTAATGCGCTTACATTTTGGGAAAACCATGGCTTGAATGACCCCCACCCATTAGTTTAACAATGCAGTTTTCCATGTTCACTCACCTCTCCTAGTTTGGCCCAGTTGAAGGACTTCAAAGGATGTGAAGGCTGAGGGATGGACTTGGAGTGCATGCTGCTCATCGAGTTAAACGATGAGGGAATGGGAGGAGGCGGAGCTCCAAAAATAGGTGGGGCTCCTGGTGGAGGAGGTGGTGCCCCAGGTGGAGGAGGTGGAGGTGGGGGAGGCGGGCAACTGAATGGTAGAGGAGGTGGAGGTGGAGGAAAGCCGCATGTCATAGGTAGTGGAGGCGGAGGCATAGGGCCGCCAGGAGGAGGAGGGGGAGGTGGGAAGGATACATTTCCGCCCTGCTGGAGGTCAAATGAAAGATCAGTTACTAAATAAACCGTAAAAAAGGGATTACAAATTACTTTAAATTGATGAATAAATTAAACATTAAACATTAGCAGCTCACAGCGATGTCATTGATGCGCGACGACAGGTCCAGCACTTGTTCCCGGGCCGAGCGCAGCTCCACACCTTCACGCTGTAGTTTATCCTTCATCTTGTTCAAAGTCTTCATCATGTCCTCTTTTTCCTGCGTTTTGGTCTCACACTCCCGCTCTTTCCGCTCCAGTTTAGCTAGCAGCTCTGCATGCTCTAAAATCAAACAGTGGTGGAGCAATGGGTTGGCACGGTGTTAGCAGATTTGGATAACAGTGAATACAGGCAAGAAGAAAGATAAAACCATGATGGATTCTGGTGAACTTTAGCTTTACCTTTTCTGAATTTCTCTGCTTGTTCTCGCCATTGTTTCACCTCATTTTCATTGACCAACCTGTGAGGCAGACAGACAAGAATAAGCACAGAGAAAGTGGACACTGGTCTGCAAAGAATTCTTGCATATAAGAGGAAACTTCAGTCCAAACATGTCAATACAGGACATTTGAGAAACCCATTGATCAGGGTTACTTCTGCTTTACTTCATCTTTGCGAGAGGGATTGAGATTTATTTCCTGCATTGACCGGTTTGTTGCGGTTTCCTCTTTTAAGCATCGTTATACAGCATTAGTGCTCAAATAAAACCTGTCAGTTATCTGTTATGAGTTCTAACTCCTGGTTCTTGGCTCAGATTGAGGTTATGTTTAGTTTTAAAATTAAGGTTAAAGGAGGTAAGGAATGCGCATTGCCGATTATTGTACATGTAAACAAAAAACACAAATATGAGATATAAGTGTAAGTTAATAAATATATTGTATTTAGTGGGATTTTTTTTTAATTGTAGGAGAAATAGTGGAAAGTGAAACCTTGAGCTCCACTGGTAGCTTTGGCTAGAGTTGAGAGAAAAACATGTTGCATCATCACTACTCACAGAAAAGCTGTTCTTAACAAGGAGCCTAAATACATAAAATATTAGACAATCAATGCACCAAAAATAGGATTGTAATAATAAATAATATAATTAAAAACATAATTATTTTTTAAAAGAAGAAATTTATTTTTCCATTAATAGCTGTGTTTTGATTTATTTGCGTGAATTTATCAGTTTACCCATTTAAATTTTGTTTTTTGTTTTTTTTTTTAAACTTAACTTGTTAAATTATACATTAAGAAAATAGATGTAACTATGATTATATTAAAATACAATAGTTACAATAATTAAAATATTGCTTTCATTTATTTTTCATTATTTTTTATAATCTATTCAACAATTTAAACCAAAAAACAACAGGTAAAGATTTAGATTGTAAATATAAATTGTAATTTATTCATATATTTATTTATTTGGTTTTCATAGTTTTGGAAGTTTTGGATAGTTTTGGCACTTTTGGTCCTCCATAGCCTGGCTGCCACAGAGGACAATAATACCACTGTGATGATGGTTCACACTTAAAGGCATCAATTCACACCAGGAAAGCAAACTGGGCATTAGTCAGTTTCGGGGCCTTTAAAGTGGTCGTGTTTAAGAAGTTGAATACAGAGTCAATACTGCTCTATTTATAGTTGAAGCAATGTTAAAAGGATCCAACTGATTAAAACAAAAAGACACAATCAGTTTTTCTTGACTGGTCAAATAAACATTTTTGCATGACTGTGGAAAAATGTGATTTGTACAAGAGCGTCAATTCTGGGGTCGGGCACACGTGTGAGTAGTCAGAGCCGTCGTCATAGTGACCACAGATGATGAATGACTTTGTCTCCCGGCTGTTTTAACAGTTGTTTTAACATGCGCTCCACCATCTGAGCTAACACGGCACTAGTCGTACGTTTTTACCCGTTAACCGTCAGGACCTCCTGCGTGCAGCCGATCCGGTAAGGAAATCTCAGCTTATGCACGCTTTTTCCAGGCAACATTTATTTGAAGTGAGTTTATGGAAACAAGAAGAGGCTGCCAGCAAATGTAAAGTGAGGGGAAGGTTTCAACCATTCTGATGCATCTTCAGTTGATAGCAATGGGCATCCAGGCTCAGATGCAGCATCCAAGTTTGCATTCTGATCGCTACTGGAAAGAATTCTGCTCAAGCGTGCTGATTGCACTAACAACAGTGGGTGAATACTTCACCAAGCTACATGTTTTATGGTGCTTTCACCACAAAGACTAAACACATTCATCTGTTATGGTAAGCTTGCTTTTAAAAATAACAAAAATGAGGAGAACTGAAGAGAAGAATGACAGCACCAAGTTACGGCAAAGACAGAGCTCTAAATTCAGTCTGTGTGCACTTGTCATGTACCGAGACCCTGACTTAGCAATGATCATTTGGCTGTGCAAACCTTCTCCTTCCAAGCCATAACGCTTCCCCCTTGTCTGCCTCGCTGCACCTGAACATGGCTGACTTGGCCCAACAGCCCTCCTAATGCGATTAGAACAATTTCCTTTTGATCTCTGGCTTCCACTTCCATGCCAGTTCACGCACAGAGCAAGGTTTCCTCCGATTCAGTCCAAGACCCCCTGCTGCCACCTTCACATCACCTCAGCTTCCTGTAAAATTACATTCCCTGCTCCCTTTTACCACGTGCTCCTCTGCAATAGCCTGCAAAACCCTGTGGTTTATTGTATATGTATATGCTCCTCTGTACTAAAACACCATATTCCAATGTTTATCTCTCCCAATCTTTGATATAGAAGAAACACATGATATCAGGGCTTTGATCTCTGTTGCTAGTGATGCTGATTAAAAGCATTAACTACAAGATTTTCTCAGAAAGTTGGAGTGTTTACAGTACTGGGGGATGAGGAGAAGCTTTTGAAAAAGGCATTGAGTGGTTGATTGACTTGAATCATCACTTGCAACAATCATTCACAACCTTTTCCCAGTGGGCATGAGGTGCAAGCAGCCCTGGCAGGGTATCAATCAAGATCCTGTCATATAAATACATTACTATAGTAAAAAGCTTCATTAGCGATCACATGTCCACTGTTGATCAATGAGAGATTTCACTCACATGCGAATGATGTTCTTTACATTGAAGTTGTCCAGAGGGGAGATATCAGGGTCCTCTCCCTTGTCGTCCTGCATGACGATCTGCTGGAGGATCCGGTCTAAGAGCTGCCAGTGCTGCAGGGTGCCACCACTACGCTTATCTGTTTTTTAGGGGGTTTTTTTCATGAATAAAAAGCTCAATAAGCTCAATATAAAAAGATGAACACTGAAGCAAAGTATAGCCTAGAAATACTTGATGTCTTTTCTCCCCAGGTAAATGTGAGTACTCACAGGGCATCTGCAGACAGTGTTGCAGGATGGAGAGGAGGTGTGGGTAGGAATCAGTGTGGCTCAGCTTCTTCTTGATCAGCTCAAACATGGCTCCAGCACTTTTAGTATCTACATGGGTCTGTTGAGTAAACAGAAGGAATCGGTACCACACAGCTGTTTAATTACCTACAATCTAAAAGGAACACACTAATGTCAAACCAGGGAAAACTCACCATATCAAATCTTTTGGCCAGCTCAGAGTCGTCCTCGTTTCGCACCATCTCAAAGAAATCCAAATGCCTAAACAGAGAGATAAAAAATGTTCCTTCATTTGATCCCAAACTTCTGTATTTATTTAATTACCTTTAGAATTTTATTACTTGTTAATAATAACTGCTTGTAAACATTGGGGGACAATGCATTTCTTTGTAGAGTTTCAAATGTTAAAGAGGGCTTACTCTCCTCATTTCCAGCTCCTTATTTCTATTCCTAGACTGTACTAGGGTAGCATGATTCACTATATCTGATTTGGTCTTGATTGGATCTCCCGTCTATTATCTTAATCAAGCATATAAACATATAAACCCTGTTTGAGACAACAGTACCGCAGTGATACTCCATTTTAGGAAAATTAAATGAAAAGGGTGGGATGTTTTGTTATTTTTAAAAACACATCAAAGATTTAGTTTCCATTTCTTCATCAGTGACTCACCTATCCAAAGTGGCGTTTTCGTGCTCTCTGAGCTTTTCGATGACCGGCTGTATGCCCAACATCAGGAACTCGTACCTTAGATGGAGGCGAAACTCCAGGTTGTCCTGAACATAAAGGATCAAACAATAAGAGAGGACACGAAGCTGTAATAAATCCATATGTCATATTTAATGGGACATCAGATACCTCAGCATCTTAAAAGTGTTGCATGTATCTTGGTATGTATCATCTTTAAGCACCATTTTAGCATAATTACAAAAAGAATACTTTGATTCCAAAACCCACTGCTATCTCTAAAATTCTCTAACAGGTCCTGTCTTTTATTTTTGTTTACTCGGTACAAAATCTTTAACTAAAAAGTCAACAGTTCTTAGAGGAAAACACCATCTATGTTGTTCATGATGATCCACAAACAAAAGCCATGCCACTGCATCTATAGTCAAAGCATGGCTGCACTTTATCGTATATTTCACTCAATTTACCTTTAAGCTCAGAATGAAACAAACTTTATTATTTGTGAACCATAAAAAAACAAACAGCCTCTCCTGATGCTTTAGTGACTATTCTTACAAGTATTTAAGAAATCTCTTTCATGAGAGTTACACTCATTAAGTTTTGTATACAGTTATTTAGAGTGTGTTTAACAGGAATGAGGCTGTGAATGCAGACCTCTCCAGCCCCAGCGTTGAGCACGGCGTTAATGAAAGACATGATGGCGGTCTTTAAGTTGACCTCGTCTCTGTAGCGTCCTGTACTTTTGTCCAGCTCATTCAGCAGCGTCTGGAAGATCAGAGGAGACGGCAAAGTTAGTCAGCAAGTGCGTTTGATCGGAAAAAAAAAAAAAAAGAAATTAATTGGATAGTAATTTCAATCTATATTTAATTTAACAGGCAAGCAGCACAGGGCTGCTGTTCTTAGTTCTTGCCCCCTTCTTTGCCTCTTAAACTGACCTTTGGCACTCTTTAGTATCTTAATCATAATTCAAAGAAACATTAAAAGCCCTCGTAAGTTTGAATCACTCAGCTCCTGCGGTGTTAGCTTAGCCAAGGTGGCATGATTTACCGCACACCCCAGGGGATGTATGAGATGTGGTTTGTTGATTCAGTCCTGCTAGTCACTAAAGCACTACACATACTGTGACCTCCATAACTTAAGATGTCCTCACCTGCCTTTAATAACGCACGTGTGTTGACGTAACCCAAGGCCAGCCGTCTGAGGCACAATTCTCCAACTTATCAAAATGACCGCAGCTTGATTTATTTTAGCATTACCCAGAAATATTTGTCTGCCTTTACCCATAATCTATGTCTGCCTCACACTGTCAGCAAAGGCTCCTCAAGCCTGAATGTGCCACGTGACATGCCCCTGCGTTAACCTCAGATACTAACAAAAGAAGCTTCTCTTACCTGGAAGCGAGTCCTCTCAGCAGCATATTTCTGGTAATGTGCCATGGCTTGAAGCACCTTCTTGTGTCCATCTGGCACCAGGCACACCGCCCCAAGAATCTCCAGTACTGCCACTTTGGTCTTGAAGTTCTCTGTCCGGAGGCTCTGTGAGATGGTATTGATGCTCTGCGGGTGGGCCAGGACATGCGCACGGCCCTGCGAGTTGTTCATCAGCGCCTTGATGCACCCGATGACGGAGGTGTGGACGCGGCTCTCCGACGTCTCATAGTCCATGCTGCGCAGGAAGTTGAGGAGGCAGGTGAGGCCGTCCAACTCGATGAAACGCGTAACAAACCTAATGGAGGACAGGAGGAAAAGCGCAGGGTAAAGACTGAGCCAATGTGCTAGTTTACAACCAACGCACAATATAAAGACAAAGGTTCATACTAAAACTGTAACCTAACCCATATTTTAACAACACAGTGAAATTCTGCTTCCATAGTTCCCGGTGATACACTGGGCCTTTCTCCTCCAGACCCCTTCCCATGCCTTCTCTCCTGCAGTTTGTGTTTTTGCCTTCTGTTTGTTAATCACAGTTTTCCTGTGCTCCACTTTTCTCTCTTCTTTTTTAAAGCAAACTCTCAAGTGTTGCTCACAGGGGATCATATCTTTTGTTGTTCTTCTCCCTCTAGTGTAGCCATAGGATATAAAACTCTGTTAGAGGCCAGTAGTGGTGAACTTGCACTGGACAAATATAATGAAAGTGAAAGTGTTTGTGCCTCTGTGCTCACAGATGGATGAAAAACGTTGGGGATTCACTATGGACAT